GGCTTCCAACCATTTCATCTGCCTGGTCTGATTTTGAGCCATGAAGTGCGTGAGYGGTATGTCAGGGTTACTCAAAACTGACTTTTCAGGAGCCTTGTGGAGTTTCGGTGTCATTTTCTCTTGCAGAACCTCTTTTCTCTTGCTTGCAAAATCTCTTTTCCTTTGGATTTGCTGCTAAAGGTGAGAAATGGCTCCAYGTTGACACTGGAAGCAGCTGCAGGCTTGGCTTCCCGAGCGCTGACGTGCTGCCTTTGCCCAGGGGGTTTATTTTCCACTTGCGTTCCTCCTTGGCTCGGTTTTASAGGAATTTTGCTTTCTCCTTGGTTATGGAGACTGGAGAAGCTGAGCTCATCTAAGGACAACCTAACCAGCGTGATCGGGGCTCCTGCCCTCATTTTTCTGCAGCTGGAGTAGCTGGGTTTGCTTTCTTGGGACTGATGATAGTGCGGTTTTTAAGAAGCTTTGGGGGACTCTGGCAGGAATTTGTGAGACTCTAGTTTTACTTGGGCATCTCGTTTTCAACATGTTGTGAGGAAYACAGGAAGACCTATAATAGTCTGGTGGTGTCCAAAAGGGGGGACCTAGGGAAGGGTGTAGGAATGTAGTAAACGTTTCTCTGAATATTCACTCGGTATCTTGCAGTTTGTGGCTCCAAACTCCGCATGCTGGAGGCAGTGTCTTTGAAATTAACAGCCTTTGATGGATTATTTCTACCRTGAATTTGTTACACGGGGTGATAAAAATCAGACAAATGAGGAATTGGGATAAATAAAGGCAAGCAGTAGGCTGGAAGCGGGGCGAGCAATAGGGGAAAACGTTGAATCATGGAAACAGGAGTTGGTAGGGCAATAAACGGGGTGAGGAGCTGGATAGGAAGCGTGATGAAGTCAAGGGATTTTGTGCCTAAAACCAGGGACTTGGCATAAAATAATGATCTAGAGGAAGTGCYGTGGGACACGGACGGGAGAATAAAGGAGTGACAGAATAACTGTGACTGCATCCCAAGCATCTCCCTTATTTCTGTCATACCTTTAACAAAAATAATGCTGCTGCCTTCGCCTGGCTAGCGTGTGCTGTGGTACAGGATTGTTCCTGCAACAGCAGCCGAGGGCTGGCTCGYTCCCTGCCCGAGCAGCGAGCCTATTTTAGACTCGCTTTTCACATGCAGCGAGGGCACTGCAGAATGGCAGCCTAGAGAAAATAACCTCATTCCGAGAGCCAACCAATTCCTTTAAGCCTTAATGCAAGAGAAGAAAATGGATTTGCAAGGACAAGTTTCATTTCCGAGCAGCAAGGACCAAGAAGCGAAGGAAACCAATTACCAAGGCCAGAACAGCTAAAYGACTTGAACACGGTGGAGCCTGGAATTTATTAAGTGACAGGTGACAATGACTTTAAACGAGAGCTGGTGGATTTAATATATCCAAGGCAGTAGGAAAACCACAGGCTTAGGGAAGAGTGACTGCAATGCAGGCCTTGGATTTTAGAGACACCTTTTGCAAAGCAAACCTGGCAGGTTGAGTTATACCTCCTATCCCATAGGCACATTTAAAAAATTATATATATAAAAATCAGGAGAATGCCTGTTTCCAAAAAGCATCCGAGACTTCCCACTCGTGGAATGTACCACCTGCTAAAGCCATCCCTCCCCGCTGGCTTCTGCGGGGTGATTTATAGCGGGGCTGCTTCGGCTTTGGCCTCTTGGTCTCGGTGGCACCGGGAAGCCGTGTTGGGCGCCTGGCAGCCCTGCCACCCTCGCCGCGTGGCAGAGCCCACCGCCCTCGCCGTGCCTTGATTTACTGCCCCCCGCACAGCTTCCCTCACGTTTTCCACAGGCCTTTTAAGACCGCGCTGGAGCCTGGGTGCTCCCGGTGGGGTTGGCTACGTGACCCGTTCAGCATTCAGGCTGGGAGCCTCTTCCTGTCAAAGCCACCGCAAGTCACCRCAGCCTTGTGAAGCTTTCGGGTGAAAAAGCGAAAGCTTCTTGCAGCTACCTAGGGAGACCTCCTCTTTGTTCAGCAGCTCCGGAGGCATCCTGAAGAGACTGTATTTTTGGAGAAATCTGCCAAAAGTGGTGACAGATAATGCCGTTTCCCCTGCGACAAGCGGCTTGGAAGCTGCAGCTGGCAGGGCGGCTATGCGGTCTGCTCTCCTCCGTCTGCCTCTGCTCGCTTCGTTCCTGCAATTACTCTGGCTTCGGCAATTTTCCCTGATAGCCACAGAGCAGGTCTCAGCGGATGGGTTTGCAGTGGTCCAGGGAGGCTCCTGACTGCTCCATACGGCTGCCCTGGGGCTCCCTAAGAAACCTCTCTGCCTCCCCTTGGCTTCAAGCAYGGCTCTGTCCTGCTTGGCTTCAGTTCCCCCAAAAAAATCCTCGTCCAAAGGAAGCATTTGGATTTCCGCTCCAGGCTCCCGCGGGCATGATTTCATATCTTTATTAAGCCAAGTCACTTCTCGGATGGGGCTCCRTGCCTCTTTTTTCTAATGACATCCTCAACTTGCCTCCAAAGCCCARTACCCAGGGGAACACGGGCTTGGCCTGGAGTGAGGCCGCACGGAGGAGCAGCGGAGCGGCGAGGAACAGCGGAGCGGTTAATAAATTAAAAGCCATTTCATTACAGGGAATGAATGTTTAATGAGTGTGGGATGACGTCTAGACAGCCCTTCAGCTCCAAGTGGTTTGCTGTGCTGGCGCAGCGGGTTCAAGCTGCGTCACGCCTTGCGGCGCCTGTCCCAGCTGCCTGCCGAGCGGGAAGGGTTCGGCAAAGCATCCCTGAGGACCAGGGGCTCTTCTCGAGCTGCAGCAGGACTGCTGTTGAGGCTGCAGCGCGGAGGTGATATGGAGATCTCCCATGTCCACATCTTCGTCCCTAGCATTTCTGCAGCTGGATCTTGAGCCTGACCTGGCGAAGCCCTGGGGAGCATGAAGGTACTGGCGAGGGGAAAGCCTGGTCCCTGCCGCACACACAGCCGTGGTCTCCCGTCCAAGGAGCCCCGCAAGGGCCAGAGATGCCAGCAGCTCCCAGGAAACGGCACCTCAGCCAGGTGGTTGGTGCTGGAGCAGTGAAGARGAGACGCTGTCTGAATGGGGATGCTTTGCCAACCACCTGCCTGCGACAGGGGTGAGTGGCCGGGAGGCTCTGCCGCCCAGCCTGCTGGAGACCTCGTGTTCTGCAGCCACGGAAGAGGGGTTTCCAATATAGAAATTCTTCCAGCTTTTATTTCGAGGGAATGGGCTGCTAGCTGAACTTTATGGCCAGGTACTGGATCTGGATTTCTGAAAATACCTATAGAGAAAATATACATATTTCTGCTTTTCTGCAGATGGAAATAGGTAGTCTCCCTTCCTATGATTTTTTTTTTCTTTTTCTCGTTTCAAAATATAGAAGAAACTTTCTGAAGCACAGAAATTTCTGCAACTTGTGGCCCCTAGTATTCCCTTGCAGTGATTCAGAGGGCTGCTCCGACCACTGCGCACCATGGGAGGCCAGGAAAGAAGGCCTGGGCATTAGCTTTTCAGGGAGGTCTTTGGGTTTTCCATCTCCTTCACTTGTATTTTTCCTTCTTGCTTTGCTAAGGCAGTTCTATATGAGTGCAAGAAACGTTGGCACTACACTGGTTTGGAAAGGACTTTTTTTGGCCAACCTGGGCAACGGTGGTAGTGCGGGCATGGTAGCCACACAGGAGGTGCTGATGGGGTAGGTTTTGCAGCACCAGAGGAAGCTCTCCAGTATTTTTCCTCCAGCAGAAGCAACAGAAAAGCCAAAACATGTTGTTATTCAAAAGTGCAAGGAGTTTTAGCCAGTTGTCCTGGTGTTCGCTCCTGAGAACGTTTGGCAAGACGCTCTTGGGTAGCTGGGTGACGTTGAGCTTGTAATCTTTGCTTAGGAAGCGCTGGTGCAGGGCTACRTAACGGGGTGTCCCCAGGGCATTGAGTGGCACCAGCACAAGCTGCCCAGCCACTTGGAGCCCGGGTGCTGGGAAAACATCTGGCCAGATGTTCCGAGCCGCAGGGCTCGGCCGGGGGCTGGGCTGGCACGCAACAAGCCTTTCCGGGCCCTGCCTCGGCAGCCCGTGGGCGGCAGCTCGCAGCAGGAAGCCCCAAGCACGAGCCGGATCTACAGCTCCCGRCAGAGCTGCTGCTGCTGCCTTTGACGGGGCAGGACCCAGGCGGTGTGTGCCCAGAAATCCTGCGTGCCGCCTCCTGCCGGGGCTCACGCGGAGAGGGCAGTCGGTGCCCAGGGCTGCCTCCCCGGCTGAGCCGGCAGGGAGCTGCGAGGGGGAGGCAGGGGAGGCCTCCACCGGAGGCCAGCAGGTCCCCGCGCCTCCTCTCCAGCTGAAAGCTGCCCTGTGGATGGCGGCTGTAACCTGGAAGCCAGCGAGTGGCCGCATYGTAGCCAGCGCAGGAGGGGAGCGGGGCGGCTCTGCTGAGTGGGGCAGCCCGCTCAGCGCTCGCCGTGGCCCCGGGTTGTGTTGGCCGTGCTGGCTGCCGCCTCCCGGGCACCGCGYGAGACCTCACCAGGCCCACGGGCCACTCGATCCTTGCGCAGGCTGCGGTTCCCGGTGCCCTTCCTCTGCTCYGGGAAGCCCTGTGCCATGGCCCTGGATGGCAGAGGTGCTGGGGCAGGCGTGCAGCAGGGCAKGGAGCAGGCAGGCCAGCGCTGGGGCCGCGGGCACTGGGGACAGCGCCGGCCTCCTCTCGCACTGATTTCCTTGGCTCCCAGCAGCACCAGCAGCACGAGCCTCCCTGCAGGGCAGGGAGCAGCTCATGGTCGTTGCTCTCTCCACTTTCCAAAGGACTTGCAGCTCCTCAGCCCTCCTGCAACCACCTCGGCCGCCCCTGCTTCTCGCTGCGACACGGTGCTGCCTGCGCAGCCCTGCCGGCCTCCCGCTGAGGAGCTGGGCTTGCCAGGGGCCCCGAAGAGGCTGCGGCCTCAGCCTCCTCCCCGCTGCCGCAGTGGGCCGCGGGGCTGCCTGGCCTCCCCTGCGCTGTCTTGCAGAGCGGGGCCGACTACGGCTTCCTCGTGAGGCAGAACACGAAGCTGCTGAGCGCGCTGGAGGACCTGCAGCACCGCTGCACCAGCCTCTCCGCGGAGAACAGCCTGCTGGTGAGTGGCGGCCGGGCGCGTGTGCGTGGGGTTCAGGGTGCTCCGTGGCGAGGGGGCCGGGCCCTGGGCACACTGGGCATCGGCCGCCTCGCTCAGATGGGTGCTGAGACCTAGGGCCACCCAGGGCCAGGAGTGAAGGGCAGCCGGAGGGCTCTGGGCACCTCCGCGGCCCGAGCAGGCCCCTTCCTCGTCACGCTGAGCAGGGTCAGGAGCCTTTGCCACTCTTCCCGCCATGTCCATGTGGCACTGCTTCCCGCTGGACACCACGCGAGACTTTCTCCGCAGCCCCGGGAAAGCTGCCRGAGCAGCAAGGCCGCGGCGGGGAGCAGCGCGGGGAAGGTGCTCTYGTTTCCCCTTTAGGGGAAAAGCAGAACAGTGATTCCCGCACTGCCRGGGCCGCCGTGCAGCACTGCCCCTGCTCGCACCCTGCAGCACCCAGGACACTGCAGGGCGCAGGGCCATGCAGCCCGGCCTGCTTCACCTACATCGTCAGGTGCTCTTGGGCCGCTCCGGGSCTGTGAGGGCTGGTTGGGAACCTGGGGTAATAAGCAGAGGAGATGCCTCCCTTCATGTCTCCTTGCCGGAGCTCAAGGAGCACCATCCTCTCACAAGCCCTGCCCCGTGAGGTGCCACCCCTGGCCATGCACCTGGGACCAAGTCACCCACGACATTGTCCAGGCTTCTGAGCTTTGCAGGAGGCTCTTCAGCTCCTCACACGGGACCCTGACTTGGCACAAGGCCCTTGCACACGTCAGCCCCGAGCCCTGGACCTGCCAGCRTGGGCCCAGCTCAGGAGCCCCGGGGTCAGGCGGCGCTCAGCACTGCAGCCCCAAAACTGCACTGCTGCCTCCGGCCCCCATCCAGTGCCTGGCCCGCTCCAGCCTTCAACCTGGATGGAAGGACCAGCTCCAAGGAACGGATGGAGCTGGGACTCGCTGCGTGGTGTGATGGACACTGGCTCTCAGACCCTCCTACTGGGATCTGCTTCAGGTGCCTTGATTCTGCTGGGTATCAAGCAGTGCAAGGGCAAGGAGCCTGCTCATGCTGGCACTGCCCACGTGGGGCTTCCTCCACACACCTTTGGAGGCAGATTAGCCCCACATCACTGCCGAAGGGATTTTCCTTCTCCCATTTCCCAACCTAAACTCAGAGTACTTTCATATCTCCTGTTGTCACTGTGGTTTAGAAAAGATCAGAAGAAGGTGGGAAAGCATCTGAGAAGATTTCAACTCAGGTTGGTTTCTCCCTTCAAAACGCCCTTGAAAATTTGATCACTTTATTTGCTCCACTGAACATTTGTTTTATGTGACCAAGTTCGAAATACGCTTTAGAATATTTTCTTACTATAGAAAAAATAAATTCAGTATGACCTGAAATCTGGGGTGTTTATCCTTCGCTAGACACCTGAATTTTAGCAAAACCTCTATCATATMAGCTCTCATCAAATCTTACTATTAAAAATCAGCCATGACCTTTTGACTGAAAAGAAGCAAATAGAGCAATGAAAAAAAAAGCAAGTGCCGGTCAAGRGATCTCACAGGGGCAGCAAAGAAAATAACTGGAAGGATCAGTTGACCTGACATTTTTGCTGATGTGAAAAGACAGCCACACACATCTGGATGTGACTTTGAGAGCAAGCCACTGGCAATCTGCAGCTTATCAAAATGGACAGATAACAAATACAAAGGGATTAAGAGCACACAGAATAAATAGAAAAAAAATGGTTTGCAAACATGAAAAAGTCCTTTGCTGCTTTTTTTCCCCATTACCCTTCAACTCGTGCCTCAATGTCAAGAGAGAAGGGACAGTAGCAAAGCTCTCTGTCTACGATAGGGTCTGCAGATCTGGAGCAATGTGCCGAGCATCAGAACATTGGGAAAATGAACTAAAAAGGGAAAAAGGCCCCAGGTTCTAGGACGCAATGGAGCCCATGGCTGCCCCTCTGGCAGCCGTGCCAGCCCATGGGCTCAGAGCCTGCAAAAGTGGAGAGAACAACACACTGCAAAGGAAGAGCAACCACATTGAAGGACCCAGGAATGGAGACTTCTTGTGACTTCTGGGGGACAACAAAGTCACATCAGTAATAAGAAATACCAGGAAAAAAACAGAGCCTTCAGTGAATGGAGAGGAGAGGAAGGGGGTGTTTAATGGTTGGGTCAGATATGTAAGAACAGGAAAAGCGCAGTATGGAAGACCTGGCAAAGCCCTCCTCTATTCCTGGCCACGGCAGGTCTTGCAGGGCTGGGGACCTGGCTGCTGTCACAGCCCCAGCGCRGCACGAGGGCAGGTGGGGGGGGGCTTCACCTCGAACCTTCCCCTCTGTTTTCCAGCGCAGGAGCTGCTTCCCCGAGACCGAGGAGAAGGTGAAGCACCTGAAGAGGAAGAACGCCGAGCTGGCCGTGATYGCCAAGCGCCTGGAGGAGAGGGCCCGGAAGCTGCAGGAGGCCAACCTCAAAGCTGTAAGTGTTTGCCTGGGCGAGCTGGGCGAGCAGCTCTGCGTGAGGACCTGCCCCTCGCTGCTGGTCCTGGGAGCTCCCTCGCCCTCTGGGCACCTAACTCCCCTTCCAGAAGTGGAGACAGTGGGAGCAACCCCCGTGCAGCAGCACAACACTCTGTCCCCTGGTCCTCTTGCTGCAGCAGCCCTGCAGATGTCCTCGAGACTTGTTTTTACGCAGGATTATTTTACGGAGATAGGAAGCTGTTTTCTTTGCCCCTTCCACAAGCCGAGCGAGTCTGCACAGCAAACATCCTTTGTCCATCAGCAGCAATAAGAGCTTCACAGAACCCAGCAAGCCTGCCAGGAAGAGGAGTTACTGCCTCTTCCTCTCATGCTTGGAGAGCTGCTTTGCAGCAATTTCCTCCTGCCTCATTTCTTGCTGTAAATGTGCCCACCTACCCTCAGGTGATATGTAAGGTAATTAGCTTAGCTTTTCCTGTGCTGCTGGTGAAAATATTTCATCCTACTCCAGCAAAAAGAAACAGGAAATGTTTGAATAAGACTGGGGTGAAGCAAAACAGGACGGAGTGCAATACTTTCCTCTACCCCATTCATACCTCGCTTGCGTTTGTGTGCAAACCACATGTTTTGTTTTTCTCCAACCCAACTGCACCCTGTTATGAAACCTGCAGCTCGTGGCACAGCACAGGAGCACTGGGAGAAGGCTGACGAATGTGGGAGCTTGCAAATAAGCATCTGAATGAGCTTCCTAAGGGTGACATGTAGCAGAGAAAGGGAAACCCGTTCTTTTTGTGTTGGAGGAAGACCAGGGATTGTGGTGGGAATGCTGACCCCCTGGGACTAGGAGGAAGGGAGAATTTTGCCAAAGAGAAGGCGGGGGGAATTTTCCTGGCATTGCCTCGACTCTCCGTCCCTGGGCACTGAGCTGCCCGTCTGTCACTGGGTTTGGGTACTTGCAGGAGAGTGGTTGCTGCCAGATGGATTTCTCAGGTACTGTGCTAAGAGAAAGCACTTGCTATACGCCCAGTAGCAGTGCAGGGCTCCAACAACTGCACAAATACTGGTTTTATTTATTTTTATTTTCTTTCTGAACAAAACCCTGGGGTGGTCACTGTTTAATAGCTGTGAGAGTGCTGGGATGGTTGAGCTGCTGGGTTACTCACCTGGGAGCAGCAGCCGGGGTCTCCTTGCAGCAGCAGATGCCTCAGGGCTGGTGTCTCGTGGGAGGTGGATCCAGATGTCTCTGGATGCAGGGCAAGACCTGGCACACGGGTTCTTCGGGGCCAGCTAGGCATCTTCCAAGACCCTGCAAAAAATCTCCATGTCTCTTCCTGCTTTGACCAGCTCCAGTTTTGTTCCCATGGTAGTCTTTGCAATCACCCTCTTCTCTTTGCTGTCGTCACAAGTTGTTCTGCCCTCATCCTGCTTCCATCTCCTCTTCCCGCCTGCTTTTGCTCTTCCTGTGCTGAATGGCCCCATCTGCTGAGGACCTTCTCTTTCCTGCCTCTTTTCTAATCCGCTTTTCCAAGCAGCCCTCCCTTCCTCCCACTTTTCTGTCTCTCTGTGGGTTCCTCTGTCCGCTGGCCTGCCCTTTCTGGCTAGGCTGCTGCTCTGGATGGTGCTCTCTGCCTGATGGCTGCTGAGGCCGTGGTTAATAAAACACCAACACAYGCGGCTTTCCTCCTTGCTGCTCTCTCCGGTGTAGGTAACAGCTCCCGTGCCTCTGAAGGGTTCCAGTCTTGAGCTGTGTAAAAAAGCATTCGCCCGGCAGCGTGCCAAAGAGCTGACGGAGCAAGCCAGCGCTCTGCTGGCGAAGGACAAGCAGATCGAAGCTCTGCAGCAGGAGTGCCGGGACCTGCAGGCTCGGCTCATTGCAGGCAAGGTGAGAAACTTCCTGGGGCCCCGCTCGAGGCCTGAGGGCGGGCAAGGGGAACACCAGCTGCAGGGGTCAGCCCTGAACCAGAGGGGTGAGGCTAATTGGTCCCATGTGGAGAGTGAAAGTCGAGCGCCTTCTATATGTGAGTTGGGACAGGGAAAAGTGGGAGAGCGTGTGGTGGAGAGAGTGGCTGGATGYCTCCAGAACAGCCCATGGGAGGATATCCCACCCTTCACCTTACAAATTCATAGATCCAGGCTGCCATTTTCAGCAGCAACTAAAACTCTTCCTGTGGAAACGACTGAGAAGCCAGTGTTGGTGGGTGATGTTCTGTGTTTGTCTAGAGGTGCCCTGGTGTGGGGCACCATAGGAGAGTTATCCAGGCYAGTGCCACCGAGAAGAAGTGTCCATCCTTGATTGCTCACCACAGACCCCGCAGAAGGGGACCGAGACCCCTTCCAAAATGCTCTGATACTCATACCAGGGCATGTWGGGCAACCTGAATCTGCCAGGGACAGGACAGTGACAAATGTGACAAAGGTGGGTGAGAAAGATTCATTACAGTCCAAAAAAGTACATGGTGCAGTCTTTGGGTTGATGACTTCAGCTGCTGCCTTGCTAGGGCATGAGTGACCACCGCAAACTTTGAAGGTGGGACATATCCTGGTTTATAAAACTTGCCAAGGCAACAAAAACAGAGGACATTTATATATGAGGCAGGGAATCTGCAAAGAGTACTAGAGAGGAAATCAATCTGCCTGTTCTTGTTTTTCTCATTTCTCTATCAAGCGAGCTGGGCATAAAATTTTGATTTTCAGCTAGTTAAAATTGAACATTCACTTAACCTGTCTGCAACATGCTAGAAACATTATGTCAGTAAAGGGCTTTCTGTGCAGAGATGTTATGTGCGTGTTCGGAGTTTGTAACTAAACCACTTTTAATCTAGTGTAGTTAAATCAGCATATGTATTTTAATAGCTAGCAAATGGATCTATTGAGTCCCCTTCCCATCCTGCACATCTGAGTCAAAGTCATTAGCCTTGAATTGCAAAGTCGGGGCTCTGAGGACAGGATGAAAWGATTCCCTAAGACTCCTGCTTTGGTAACGGGCTTCTAACCAAGCTCTAGTGAAAAGCAGGCTGCAATTCCTTGCCAAGAAGTAGTTTCAACACTTTCTGTGGATGATGGGACAGGAGCTAACGCAGGAGTGGAAGCTACAAGAGGGACGAGTGGGGTCAGGCGCTTGCCTTGGTGTGGGCTCCTCCGCGGCGCAGAGCCGGACACCGCCGCTGTCACAGCTTCTCCAGCTGGGCAGTGCAGGGGACAGCAGGGCAGCTGCAGGAGCCATTTATAAGAGAAACTGAGAGGGGAAAGCTGAGCTTTTCTCCACTCCCTTGTTCTCCCCAGAACAAGCCTCCTTTGGAGGCTGTCTCTTGGGAACAGCTGCCTGTTTTTCTGTGGCTGAAGGGAGATTTTGTATAGAACCATGGGCAATTTTTTTTTTTAATATATGGGACTATTACCCTGGTACCCGAGACATGGGTCTAGCATAGGAGAGAGCTCAGCTCCTGACTTGGGAATCTTTAATCAGCTCCCATTAATGGTACCTCAGTTTGTCTCTTATAACATAAGAACATGTTCTTCTGGCTTAACTGTATCATATGTATAAAGCACATACTATTTTTAGGGCCAATCAAAAGTGAACAGGGAAAGTGATTAAATACGTCCTGGACACCAATTACGTTTTGAATTCATTGGCTTAGGAGCTTTCCAGGGGAACGAGCAATGTCTCGTCCAGCAGCGCATTTGCAAAGACAGGTTTTCAAAACCGGGTTTATGAACATGCAGGTATGTGTTTTCCTTGTTTGGATTTCCTCTTTTTCAGCATCCTAAAGAATGAGAACCTTTGAAGCCTTAAACTGGTGGCCTATCTATCTCACTATTTTAGTGAGAGTAAAACTGCGCYGGTTTCCCTCTCAACCTGCTGGCCTGGGGTCCAGAATAGACAGTAACGCTCAGTTGTACAAAAGATCAGAGTCCAAATGTAGCCCCTCTTTGAAGAAGTTAGAAATGAAGAATCAGAAGGAAGAAAAAAAGGAGAAAAAGATGTGGCATCAGAAGTGAACGAACCTGAGATAGCGCTGCTAGCACTTAAACCCCAACAGAGCGGGACGCGTGGGGCTCCCGAGGACGCTGCCGCGCAGCCAGGGCAGCCACGCGGCCGCCACGCGGGGATGGAGTGTCCGTGTCCTGGTCCGTGTCCGTGTCCTGGTCCGTGTCCGTGTCCTGGTCCGTGTCCGTGTCCTGGTCCTGCCGCGCTCCCTGCTGGCCCCGGGCGCGCTTTGCTGCGCTGCTGCGGGGCCTCCGTCCCTCCCAGAGCCCGCTCATGTCCTCGCGCAGGGGCAGGGACAGCGCGGGACCTCGGGGGGCTCGTGCGGCGGTGCCGGCTCCGCCGCCCCCGCGGGGCTCCCTGACGCGCGGTTCTGTTTCTCCATGTCCGCAGGCCGGCGCCGGCTGCCTCCACCTGGCCGACCTGGACCGGCTGCTGCGGGAGTCGCAGCGGGAGGTGCTGCGGCTGCAGCGGCAGATCGCGCAGAGCGGCGCGCC